AAATGACAAGATTCCATTCCCCAAAGCTCAAGCCTAGTTTTAGATAGCTACACTCTTTTCTACTCCTGTTCTGGCTCCTGCCTCAATCTTGTGGTGACTTGTCACTTCCCTCAGGTTAAACCTCTCAGCCTCCAGCTGCATCAGGAAATGTGTGGGTCTGTATATTCAGGAGAAGTGCTGGTGACTGTGTTCCAAGTCAAAGTTTTTTCCCATCCCATGGGAGCATTTTGCAAGTGGAGTTTAATTAAGATTAAGGCATTTTCAAAGAAATTACTGATTTCCTTTAAAAAAAATCAACAAAACATCTAATTTTCTTTCTTTTTTTTTGGAGGCAATTGGGGTTAAGTGACTTGCCCAGAGTCACACAGCTAGTGAGTGTTATGTATCTGAGGCCAAATTTGAACTCAGGTCCTCCTGACTCCAGGGCCGGTGCTCTATCCGCTACGCCACCTAACGATGCCCCAGAACATCTCATTTTCAAGTGATAGAAAATAGCAAATTAAGAAAAATCTAACTTAAAAAGTCCTAAAATAGGTGACCCTATACCTCAAAAATAAAATTTCCCCCCAAGTCTCATTTTATCTAGTGAGTTACACATCCATTGACTTAATCTTGAAAGATATTTCTACCAAACTCAATATAAACTTGGGAGAGTGGGGCAAAAAGTACGACCCGGGGACAGGACTTGTGATCAACAGAAGATCCAATTTGTCCATAGTTATAGAAAACTTATGGTTGAAGAAATTCCCTCTACCTATGTAAATCAGTACCTATTCTGCAACTTACGGTGTCCAATTCAGAGAGAAATGGGGATTGATGAGTGGCTGGGAAGGCACTAATCCATACATAAAGGTCCCTGGAAGCTGCATATTGACTTAGTTTTAAAATGTATTATTATCTATGTTTTATTGTATTTCCCAATTACATGTTATTCTGGTTCTGGTTGGTCCTAGTGTATTTGACACCTCTGGTCTAGAACACTGAGATGTTAAGTGACTTTCCCAGGGACACAAACCCAGTATCAGTAAGAGGCAGAACTGCAAATCATGTTTTCCTGGCTCTGAGGACAGCTCTCTAGCTACCATACTAGGCAGCTAAGTGGCATAAATGGGCTCCATAAAAAGTTGCCAGCCCCATAAACTTTGTATACAGTATTATCCCTCAATAGTATTTAAAGCTAGGTGATACAATACTTAGAATGCTGGGCTTGGAATCATGAAGATCTGAATTCAAATCCTACCTCGGACATGACATAAATGACCCTGGCCAAGTCACTTAAACTCAGTGAGTCTTAGTTTCTTTATCTGTAAAATGGGTCTAATAATAACACCTACCTCCTAAGGTTGTAGTGAAGATCAAATGAGATAACATATGTAGAAGACTTTGCAAACCTTGAAGTTCTATTTAAATGCTAGCTATTATCATGTCTGAAGAATTCTTCCTTTGGTTTCTCTTAAAAGAGAACACTATTGCAATATTCCTCTTTATATTGCAATTCTTTGGTTCTAACTCTTCTTACTTCTTCTAATTATACTATGGTTTCCAGAATCTTAGCATCATCTCTGTCAGTATTCCAACCAGTGAAAGAAGTATATATCTGCTTCTAGCAAAAAGGCAGTTCACGGAAATACAGTAATTTTAGTGGGAGGTGAGACTGGATCAGTAAATATAATACAGCCAACAAGGCAGTGGGAAAAAATGAGACTTAATTAATGTCTGCAAAGAGTCATTAAACAAAATCCCCAGTAGGTGTTGGAGATAATCTATTCTGAGATTGAAGTTATATTGTAAATCACTTTATTTAATTTCACAAACAGAAAAATAAAGGGAATAATAGAGTCCCATGTGTGGTCAAAGGGGGTAAAGGATAAAATCACCATTACACAATGTTTCTATTATCAAGGAAATATTTTACTTAATGCAACCCAGAGGTTTTGACTCTAGTTTCTGTCCTTCTACAACTAAAAGATTGCTTATTAATTACAGGTACCTTGTTTAGCACATACAAGCTTCTAAAAAGTTTCCTAGTAGCAAATTAAGGACATGGAAATCTAACACATTTGTTGGCACATATGTGTGTATTTGTCTCTTTGCTAATAAATCTCACTTAGATTCCATATGTAATGTCCCCAAAAGAGGCCTAATGATGCTCATTCTGGAAGGAAATCTTCCCTGAAATTCTCTAACCCTATTTCTGCCTAACAAACTCAGAACCACAACTTATTTCAGTCTATGTCAACTCATTTTTTGCAAACTACCAATTATGACTCAATCACACACACATACACATACACACATAGGAACAACTCCAACTATGACAGATACTACCTTCTGCTTAAAGGTCTGACCTTGTTGTCCTATTGTAAGACTACCTAATCAAAAAGTCACTGAGTACCCATGACATAGAACTTGTTTTTGAAGTTTCTAACACTTTAGACCTTCCAGGGTCCAGAAATCCTCCCTGCTCCTTGCATAGACTTAGGAGGCTTATGTATCATATTAAGTCCTTCTTAATCTTTTTTGGGGGGGGGCTAGGCAATGGGGTTAAGTGACTTCCCCAGGGTCACTCAGCTTGTAAGTGTCTTAAGCCAGATTTGAACTCAGGTCCTCCTGACTCCAGGGCTGGTGCTCTATCCACTGCGCCACATAGCTGCCTCTAAATCCTTCTTAATCTTAATGCCCTCCCTTTCAGATTACTCCCAATTTATCCTGTCTATATATTGTTTGTGCATAATTGTACACAATTTCCCCCATTAAACTGTGAGCTCTTGGAGAACAGAAACCGAGGGTTTTCTTTGTTTGTTGCCTTATTTCATATCCCCAGCTCTTAGCACAGTGTCTAGCATATATTAGATGCTTAATAAATGCTAGTTGACTGAGTCGACTGATTTGGAGTGTGTCTTAGTGAGGAAAGGTGGAGTGCTGTTTATTTACATCTTGATAAGATGGCTACTAATATATTACTGGGTTCTATAGGATTTTTCAAACTTTTCACAACTGTAGCAAGACCAGTTTTTAGGGGTTACTTGGAGGTTGGTGAGACACTAGATCCAGCTGAAGTGAAATGATCCTGATTCTTCCATTTGGTAGCCAGAAATGGAAGACACAAATATGGCAAATACCTGAGTCCCAAACTCTAGTCTCAGGTTGGGCTGGTGGCCTGACAAGCCCTAAGGAGGTGGATAACATAATACCTGCTTCTATAGTATCTTCCGCTGGCCTCCTACTCCCCAAAAGGTTAAAAGTCACAGGATTGAACCAAACAAATTGATGACCCCTAATTGTCAGATGGTACTATATACTACAGTAGAATGAAAAATTGTTGAACCTGAGATGTGCTCCCTTGGAGTAGCATAGGATAGAAAGTCATACTGCCTCACAAAACTCTCCCAGTTACTATCAACAATCCATTATTAAAAACATGACACATCAGTATAAGCAACTAAATATGTCTAGTAACTATTTACACTTAATTAATTTCAATGCATAAAGTCTCAACCATTTTTCAGTCCTTCCTTTAAAGGATTAATGTTTGTTCATTCTTCCTCATTTACTTTTCTTAAGTGATCAACAATTACATCTTACTAGTGTGTTTTTATTTTATTCAAAACACGAAGTATATTTTTTGTGACACAGAATCAATGAACAGGTTCATATAGGAAAAGGGAGACACAAATGATAAAAGGACAGTAACTTGATGATGGAAAGAAAATTCCTGTTGTACGTATGAAAGAAAAAGTGTGGTTTAAAACAGGGATTCTTAACCTGAACCCTGTGGACTTATTTTAAAATTATTTTTATAATTATATTTCAGTATAATTTATTTCATTTATAATTATGTGCATCCTATTTTGTGCATTAAAAAAACATTACTATGAGAAGAGGGCCACAGGCTTTACCAGATTGCAAAAGGGGTCCATCACAAAAAAAGAAGTGAAAGACCTGTCTCTGATTTAGAAGACACAATGGCACTAAGACACAAAAGGGAAAAACACTAAGGAGTGATCCAAATGTGAGCCACAACATTCCTCAGCAAAGAAGAGACACTTGATAAAAATTTTAGCCAGATTTCAGGAAAGGGACTAAGAAATCTTCTGAATTTCTTCTATATGACAAAAAGTAGAAAGAGAAGAATGACAATTCTACAATATTACCACATAAGGGTAATAAGGGAACACAGGTGAACAATAGTAAAGCATTTGAGAGACTAATCACACTGAATAGAGCTTCAAATTAATTGCTTTCCTTCTGTTTCAATTGCTAACACTTCTAGGTTGTCATGGAGATTCAGATGTCCATGGTGTCATCTTCAGTTAATTTGCCTTTTCAAAGGTTTTAAAAACAATAACAATTATTTAGTTGTATATAAAGATGCTGCCATTGAATGAGTCACAAGACCATGAGACCATGGGCTTAGTACTATTTTTCTAAATGTAGTGATGGGTTTGGACTGAGCCATTTGCCTTTTACTCGGTTACTCTCAAATGAAACAGAAAAAAAAGATTCTCATGTTTGGGGGAAGGGACATGAGGAATAGCTGAATGACTTCACCTGTAAGTAGGACTACAGATAACCATTTGACTTCCAATTTCATATTTCAAGTTGCTCCTACTAAAACAACAACAGTAAAAACAACAGACTCCAGCTACAACTCTAAACAATCCTCTATGTTCTGTAAAGTGGGGGGAACTTGTATCACTGTTAACTGTTCCAACCAGGGGCGCAAAAACTGAGAAGTTTGGTGATGACATACTGAATCTCTTTTCGCCCAGACAAATTAGTCACATGCACATTTACGACAAGCAAAGTATGCTACCTTAGCATTCACTCCTCAGACCAAGTTTTTCATCTTCTATTTCCTATTTTCCTTTTTTTTCAATTTCAAAATTTTTCACCAAAGCTGGGAAGATGTAGAGAGCAGAAGATATTACAGATTTTTTTTTTAACGTGGAGAAATTTAAGGGGCTCTCTCTGCTGGCAAAGTTATTATTATTTTTTACCTTATTACAGTTTTTAGAAGCTGAGCTGAGATTGCTGCTACTCACATTCTCCTTGTCAGGCATCCCTAGGAGGGAAAAAGAGAAGAAAACATGAATGATAAGGGAAAGTTGCAAACTCTGAAGTCCTCAGCCTCTTAAATGCTATTACGAAACCAAGGGACAAATTTGGTGCAGTTAATTCATATTTAAGGTGGGGTAAAGCCTTACATGTTGTATTTACAATCTTAAAAAACAGCAGCAACTTTTCAAAATGCTTTTTAAAAATAAATAATGAGTGGGAAAATGGGGTAGGACTAAAAGTAGCATTACAAAATTTTAAAAGATGGCTTTACTTTGCATCTTAATATGCTTTAATATTTTCATCACTTTTCCAAGAAGGCAGGACTCACTGCCAATGTATCTATCATAATACAGCTAAATGTGGCTCCTGTTTCTCCTTTGCTTCTTCTCACTCTTGGGATTGCTACTCCTGAGTCAATATGATGAGTGAATGACAGGATGAAGGAAGCAGTGAAAAAGAGTCATCTTGTGAACAGACAATGATGTGAATACTTCATAGGAGCCAAGCGTAGCTACACTGAGAAAGAAGCAGAGAATTCTCAGGCACACGTAGAACAGGGGGTAGGCCCATGTCATGTATGTTCACTTAGTACAATGTGGAATTTTCAAATACAACACATGCAGAATGAGTGTAATAATTAAGTTGTTTTACACCAAAAATTCTGTTTGTAAATGCAAATGATGCATGTATATCTAGTATAGCCAGTATAGATGAACAATGAGTTGGGTGTGTTCCACTGGTACACCTGCAATGTCAGGAGAAAGTGAGGAAGGTCTCTAGCATGTTGAGGGACCCCCTATGGCAAACTTTTGGGAGGACACAGACAACAGTCGTTCACGGTGGGAAGGAATGGATGGGTTTTGATTGCATTGTTGGAGAGAACTCCTGAGCCAATAAACTCACAGATCCATTGATAATTGAATAAATGTATATTATAAGTCTTACTCTATCACTCTTACAAGAACTGTGATTGTCTTGGTGAACAACAGAGGAGCAAGCTACAGGAACTGGAGAGGAACAAGAAATACACCAATTCCTCCATTGAATCCTGGAACTCAAGCACTTAAGATACTCAGGCAGGAGCCCTAAGAAGCTACAAAGCAGGAAGCACAAGGATGAGATTGAGTGACAGATCTGAATTGTCCAAATTCAGTCATGATTCTCCAATGTGAGCACTCTAACATTGTTCATTCATTCATCCAAAAAATGCTAACTGAAACCTAAGCGCTCAATAACACATTAGTAATAATAACATGTATATGATGAAAATAGCTAGCATTATATACCGTTTGCAAAGCACTGTGCATGTTATTTCATCTAAGCCTTAAAACAATCCCATGAGGTAGATGCTGTTATGCACATTTTACAGATAAGAACAGTGAGCCTGAGAGGAATGATTTGGCCAGGTCACACAACTAGCATCTGAGGCAGAGGCAAGATTCAAGCTCAGGTCTTCCTAAATCCAAATCCAGTATCCTTACCCACTGTGCCACCAGCTACCTTGCAAAACATACAATGTTTTACAATTTGCCCAGTGCTTTAATACATTATCTTCTTGACTACACAGTAGCTATGTGTGGGGCACTTTGCTAATAACAGTGGGGGATGTGAAGATGATGAATAAAACACAGTTCTTGCTCTAAAAGGGCTTTTTGTGAGGGGATTCTACATGACCATTTATAATACAAGGCAGAATGTGATAAACAAGGTGTCCAAACTATTGAACAAAGGGTGGTGGGAATTCTTCAGAAAGAGTTCACTTCCACCTGAGGTGATGACAAAAAGCATCCATGGAGGAGATGGCATTAGAACTGGGCATAAAGGGATAGGCAGAATTTTCAGAACAATTATGAGTCTCTAACTAAAGAAAGAACAGCTAGGTGCACATCAGATAGACCTGAGTTCAAATCTGGCCTCACGCTCTTAATAGCTATGTGACCCTAGCTAAGTCACTTAACCTGTTTGCCTCAGTTTCTTCATCTGAAATGAGCTGGAGAAGGAAATGGCACACCACTCCAGTATCTCTGCCAAGAAAATCCCGAATGGTGTCATAAAGAGTTGGACACCACTGAAATGACTGAAAAATATCAAAAGATTTTCGGAACAATTAGGAGTCTCTAACTAAAGAGAAGGGGCTTGGATGAAGTGAGGAGGAAATCACTATTTTTTCCTCTAAATAATAATATAGTAGAACCACAGAAGGTATAGAATGAGAAATCCTCCAATAAGGGTCAGAGGAAAGAGAGAAGAGAGGTGGTGGCCACTGACTCCCTATTAAGAGGCACTGAGAACAATGCCTTTTGTATCCCCTGGACTCCTATTGAAGATGTAACAGAGAAACCCCAGCACTCATCAGATGACTATTGACCACTTCTGGTGATGCACACAGGCACAAATGATAATAATGAGAGGAAGATCCTACAAATCACTCCCCAGTCACCTTGGGCAAGAAACTAAAGACCACAGGGGCCAGGCAGTACTTTCCTCAATGCTGCCCATTGACAGCAAGGGATGCAGAAGTTAAAGGAAGGAGGGAAGGAGCTAGCACTCATACAGCACCTCCTGTGTGCCAGGTGTTGTGCTTAAGCGCTTTATAAGAATTATCTCATTTGAGCCTCACTTCAACCCTGGGAAGTAGGTGCTATTATTATAATTTTTACTTTATATTATTATAATTTTAATAATTATTATAATTTCTATTTTATAATTGAGAAAACTGAGACAAATAGAGTTAAGTGACTTGCCCAAGGTCACACAGCTATTAAGTGTCTACACTCTCTCCACTGCCCTGCCTAACTGCATGTGAAGGTTGCTTGGGGAATTGAACAGTTTTCTAAGATAGTCATATTCTAGAACAAGATTTGGATTTCAGCATCACAGCAGAAGGCGAAAACTGCCTACAGATAGCCACCAAACAAAGTAAGAGAGCAGCCGTAATGAAGGAAGAATGGTACTTGAGATACTAATAAGTTTACAAGTCATAAAATCTAAGAAAGGAACCAATAGTAAAATCTAGGGCTCCCAATCTCTAGCAGTTCTCAAACTTTTGGGTCATGGGAACCCTTTATACTCTTAAAAATTATTGACAGGGCAGCTAGGTGGTACAGTAGATAGAACTCTGACCTTGGAGTCAGGAGGACCTGAGTTCAAATCTGGCCTCAGACACTTGACACTTACTAGCTGTGTGACCCTAGGAAAGTCACTTAACCCTGATTGCTTCAACAAAAAGCAAAAAAAAAATTGAGGACCTCCCCACAAAGAGCTTTTGTTTATGTGGGTTGTACCTATAGACACTTATAAGAAATTAAAACATTTTAGTATCATTATTAAAATAGTTTTGACCTCATGAACACCCTGAAAACCCCAAAGGACCCCCCATCTAACCACATTTCAAGAAGTTCCGATCTAAGAAAAAGCAAAAATAACTAAGGTTCTGATGCAGGGAGGCAAATTTGACCTCACAGTTATCACTGAGACTTGGTGGGAGAAACCCGTGACTTCTACGTAGCTCTGGATGGGTATACTTTATTTAAAAGAAATAAGACAGATAAAATGGAGGGCAAGTAGAGAAACATAATATATTAAGATATCAGAGCACCGGCCCTAGAATCAGGAGAATCTGAGTTCAAATTCAACCTTAGACACTTACTAGCTGTGTAACCCTGGACCCTGATTGCCTCCAAAATACAATTAAAAAAAATCACTCATGTGAATCCAGGAAACAGAGAAAGGGAGAATAGCAGAACAGTATTTTGGGTAAAGATTAATAGAAGAAGAAAGAGAAGTGATTTTATCATCATAGCATACAAACAGACTGCCTGAACAGAAAGAATTAAAGGAGTTCAGGAAACAGATAAAAACCCTGGCATAGAGGAAACAATTAGAGACTTCAATTATCTAGACTAGTTTCAGTGGTCCAGGGCTGGTTTTCTTCCTCTTTCAAAAACAAAGTGGCTACCAACTTTTTACTTTATCTGAAAGACAATTTCACCAAACAAAAGGTGGAGGAACCAACAAGGTCCCTGTTCTACACTGGATCTGCGTCTTACTGGGAACAAGGAAAAAGTATTTATTAAGCACTTACTGTGTGCCAGGTACTGTGCAGCTTTATAAATATTATCTCATTTAATCCTTACAAAAACCCTAGTTGGAACACTGGTAGGAAAGAACGAGTTTGTGGTATGAAAATGACTAGAACATTGAAAGGAGGTGGTCACTCCATCCTAGAATTTATGATAGAGGAGAGGACAGCTAGGCACACACAGTTGGATATATAATCTAGATTTGGGGCAAGCATAGTTTGAAGACTTCAAAGGAAAGATAGATAGGATCCCTTAGATTAGAATTCTCTAGGGAAAGTCAGCCCAGGAGTGATGGGAATTTCTGAAGAAACAAAGAAGAGAAATTACAGTGAAAAGGAAAAAAAATAATTATTTGGAGATTTATTTGTATACACTGAGCTTAGATTTTTAAAATTCATGTACAGAAGCTGATCAGGTGTCCATACCAAGGGTAGAGCCAATGGTGAACCCTAGGACCAGGAGGTCACTGGGCCACCTAAAGAGGGGTGACCCAGCCCAGTATGGAAAGAGAGCAGAGCTTTCATACTGATCAGCAATGTGATGGGGTCCATTGGTGGCAGCAGCACTTCTAGTCTAGGAGAGTTAGGGAGATATAGTCTCAAACAAAATAAAACAAAACAAAAACAAAATATATAGACAGAAGATGGAAACAAGAACATATAACAAAGAATGAATATAATACTTTGGAATATTTTTGCAAAAAAGTTTCAGGAGTGCTAAACTCAAAATGAGATGAATGAGACTGGTAAAGAACATTAAGGACAACAAAATGTTGTTATTGACATTGCTTTTATTGGAGTAGATGAGGTTTTGATAACTAGTAACAGAGAGAAGGAGGAGCGGCCTAATTCTTTTATTTCTAGTTTTTTTTCTGCCAAGAAAAGTCAACTTTGTGCTGGAAATGACAGAACAAAAATAGCCAACAGGAAGGAGATGCATAAGATAGATAAATAAATAGTGTGTGAGCACCTACTTGCCCTTGGTGAACTTAAATTATCTTACCCAGGTAAACTACAACCTTGGGTATAGAAAGAACTGGTAGATATAACTGCTGAGCTTAGAGATATTTAAAAGTTTGAGCAGAATTGGAAAGGTACATGGGACAGGAGAAGGGCAAACATCCTGATTTTCAAAAAGGGTAAGAGAGCAGAATCTGAAGGCTATAGGCTGGTGAGCTTGATTTTGATTCCTAGGAAAATACTGAAGTGAATCAATAAAGAGGTGGGATAAGGAATACAGCAGCCTCCCCTGCCTGATAAACACATATGCCCACAGGAAACACAAAAACCAGAGTAACCTTGTCTGAGTAAAACCAGCAGGAACTGCCTAAAGCCCTTTTCACCAAGTGTGAGCTTAATACCTACTAGCCTCTAATTTTTCAGGAGTCTTCCTTCCACCCAACTAGCATGAGTGGGTACTATTGTCCAGGTCTAGGTTCCTCACTCCCTTCCCCCAATGATTGGTCCTGCTAGACCCAATTAAGAACCTTATAAAAACCTTTCAGACTTAATTGGTTTAGGGTAGGTGCCCCATTCCCTCTACCAAGAAAGATCAACTTAGCACTGGAAATGACAGAATAAAAATAGCCAACAGGAAGGAGATGCACAAGATAGATAAATAAATAGTGTGTGAGCACCTACTTGCCCTTGGTGAGCTTAAGTCATCTGACCCAGGTAAACTGTATCCTTGGGTACAGAAAGAACTGGTAGACATAATTGTTGAATTTAGGGATATTTGAAAGTTTGAGCAAAATTGGAAAGGTACCATGAACTCCATCAAGGTATTCAATCCAGGGGCCCAATGGACCTGTTACCATCATTGTTCTTGATTGTCTTTTATTTTGTGAGAATTTCCCCTTAATATAGCTATTTTGCCTTGCTGTCTTGTCATATTTTCATGTACTGAATATCACATTCAGAGCCTCCCTAAGTCTGTGTTAGAATGAGTGGTTAGTAAATATCTAGAAAAAGAAGTGGTTATTCTGAAGAGCCATCAAGGTATAATCAAAAATGGATCAAACTATATTGACTTTATTTTCTTTTTTGATGGGGCTAATACACTAGCAAATTGAAGAAATCCTTTAGATACTATTGATGTAGCATTTGGTCAAATATCTAATACTACTCATGTGGAAGAAATGGGGAGATGTTTATACTTGAGATGGTTGGGTCTAGATATGTGATTTCCTTGCTGTAGGGAGAAATGTGGACTAGATGATAATACAATTATATGCAATTGGAATTGGTTGAGTAACCAAACTCAAAGAGTAATCATTAATGGTTCACTGTCTACTTGGAAAGATATATGTCCTCAGTACTTCAGGAACCCCTGTTTGTCCCTGTGCTGTTTGAAAATATTATCAATGGTCTGCTAAAGGCCTAGGTGGAGTGTTCATAACATTTTAAGATGACACAAAGCTGAGAGGAATATTTAACACAATGGATAAGAGTCAAAACTGCAGAAGATCTTTGTAGGCTAGAATATTAGTCCAATTGTAATGAAATGAAATCCAATAGAGATAAATGTAAAGTCTTACAGTTGAGTTAAAAATTACTTCATAAATACAGTTTTAGGGAGAGAACTTCCAGTCAAATGGCAAGGATGGAAGTCACTGTACGTAGTTCAGGAATGCCTGGATGATAATGAAGAAGAGATGGAGGGTTTGAACTATTATTATTTGAACTATTCAGAGGGGAAAAGGCAAAAAAAGATAGGAAAGCAATTCAATGAGTTAAGGGAGGATTTATTTTTAAGAGTAGGGTAGGTCTTAGAATATTTTTATAAGATGAAGGAAAGAATCAGTGGAGAGGAAAAGCTTGAAGATGTGAGGAGGAATATGTCTTCCCTAGATACAAGAACAAAGGAAAAGGGTATGGATGAACATGCAGAAAATGTATGAGGTGAAATGGAGGAGAGTTGGTAGAATCACATCAGATGGCCTTGAATTGCTTAGCAGATCAAAGTAGAAAATAAGATCACTGGCTAAGATTAAGAGGAGTAGATTTGGGGACATGAATGTGTTAAATGTTTGAAACCATTACAGTAAAGCTCTGAGGTTTGTGATGTAACAAGAAGGGTTTATGTACACCTTTGTACTTAGGTGTTGAGATGATAAAACATTAAAGAATGTATGATGTGTCATGTGTATGTAAAACATACTACTAAAGACTCAGGAATGCTCTATTTTCCTAGAATTTATGAAAAACTTCCAGTAATCCTAAAGAGAAACAAAACTTCCTGTCATACATCGATGGATAATTAGACTTCAATTACGCTAATATTTCATCAAGTCTGAAAGGCAGGCATTACCCACTAAAACAGATATTGGCACAGAAAAACACACTTCTCTTTATGTTTAGGTAAAGACTGACCTTTTACTAAAGGTGTACAATTTGCAGAGACCTTGATTTTATTCCACTAAATAATGAATCATTAAGCTATTTGAATCATTATACTTTGCTTGATCAATATAATAAAAAATGCATAATAAGCAAAAGCTGATTTTGCAGCCCCAGCAGCTATTAGCTCTTAGGTATTAGAAGCTGTGTAAGGCAAAGACAGCTCCTGCTACCATTTTTAATGGAAGCACAGCAATGACATAGGGTTTTGCTGCAAAACTGAAGACCTCCTGAAAAGGTATTTTGTATTCATGGGTATCCTATGTCATTACAGGGTACTTAGTGGTGCAGCAGAGAGAACATTGGCATTGGACTTGTGGCCAGAAGACCTGAGTTTGAATCTTGCCTCGTTCACTCAATAGATGTGTGGCTCTGGGCTCTCTGCTTCAATCATCTCATCTGTAAAATGAAGATAATAATAGCACCTCACGGGGTTGTTGTGAGATTCAAATTAGATAATATATTAAAGTGCTTTGCACTATATAAATGTTAGCTTTTTGTTGTTGTTCAGTCATTTTAGTCATGTCCAACTCTTCATGACCCTATTTGGGGTTTTATTGGCGAATATAATGGAATGGTTTGCCACTTCCTTTTCTAGCTCTTTTTACAGATGAGGAAACTGAGGCAAACAGGTTAAGTGACTTGCCCAGGGTCACACAGCAAGTAAGTGTCTGAAGCCGGATTTTAACTCAGGAAGATGAGATTGGCATTTAGGATTGGCATTCAATCTACTGCGCAACCTAACTGTCCAAATATATAGACAGCTAATAGAAACACATCCATCCTCTATAAGCCAAGGACATAAATATACTCTAATTTTTAAAATCACTTGAGAGTACACACAACACTGCATCCATCACACTGACAAACCATCACAATGACTACACATATGTATTTAACATTTTTAGACAAAACATTTTCAAATTCTTTACTTACTATCATTGTTAGAGCCGGTTTCCATAACACCATAAGGAGGAGCCAAAAGTCCTGCCATATACTGCCGATATTTCTGAAAGAGAATATGATAAACTAAATACATTGGCATTTATTCATTTTAAACAGTCACAGATCTATATTTTTAAAGATAACAACTTTGGGTCTCATAAAGCATTTGAGGTATGTATTTATGGATCCATAAATTTGCTCTGTGATAACATAAAATATGTCTGTCTTTCAAACCAGGCTCCTTGGTTAGGATTGTGGGTATTCTCCCACCTAGGAGAACTGTATCACAGGAAATCATTTACATATTTCTTTCTGATTGAACATATCCCTCTTACCCCTCCTACACAGGATCAATTATTTGTAACGTGAAGAGTTAATAATTGCAACACTTGAATTTTTTAATAGCTGCACATACAAAAAAATGTGCTGCTTTCTTAATAGATGAATCTCACCAAATTAGCTTCCTTCAAAAGATAGAAATGCCTTTCTCTAGAAAGGATGTTTCCAAAGAAGCTGATTTCATGCTATTAACCTATTTCAATGCATAATCAACACCTGCATTTTATGTGACCTCTGAGAAACTTTTAGTAAGCTTACCTAGAAAAAGATCATGGCTTAACTAAGAAGTCTTTGGATGGAATAAACTAGTATTATCTTTCTTTTGTCCTCTGGTAAATATACAATTAGTAATGTATGCTCCATGAACATACATTGAATGTCTGGGGGAGATACAAAGACCAAAACTACATGGTTCCTACTTTGATAGAGTTTGCTGTATAGCTTTTTTCATCAACAACATTATTAGCCATCTTAATCAATGGATTTTGACCTATAAGGGACCTTTAGCAGCCAGCTACTCAGCAATCTCCTTATTTTATGGTTGAGGAGATGCCTTTATTCACCAGACTTGGCTCCAAATGACTTTGAGATATTCCCAAAGATCAAACCAACCAACCAAGGATGAAGATTTGAGACATTTGAAAGAACATGTTCCAAATTTTGAAGGCATTCCAAAAAGTTTGAGGAATTCCAAAATATTCTGAGCCATGAAAGCATATTTGTAATAAGCATATAGTTTTATGAGATGATGACTTTGAAAAGAGAAACATTTAGTTAGATGTGTTTTGTTATGTTTGTTGAAACTCAATCTAAGTACCTTACAGACACACCTCATTATATGAGTAGATTACTTTCCTTGGCTAAGCCTGGTTGAAATATCTCTGAAGTCCTTTTCAACTTTAAATGCTGTGACCCTATATAGAGGGGTTCATGAATTCAAGAAATATTTCTTAAACGCTATCATTAATAATGGTGCTTAATACTGAGGGGGACCCAAAGATTTGGGAAACACGGAGGTTCCCAAATTTAGTAGAATGCCAAAAATAATCCTGTTGAAAATGTGAACTATTATTTCACAAATAGTCATAATGAAAGAAGGAAGAAATATATAGTTCAGGTGATAAGATACTCAACTTTCTATTCTATAGGAAATGGAGAGCCTTTGAAAGTTTTGTATGAAATTGGAATGATTACAACATTACTTTAGAAAGATTAGCCTTGGGGGAGCTAGGTGGCACAGTGGATAGAGCACTGGCCCTGAAGTCAGGAGGACCTGAGTTCAAATCCAACCTCAAACCAAACACTTGATACTTACTAGATGTGTGACCCTGGGCAAGTCACTTAACCCCAATTGCCTTTAAAAAAAAAGATTAGCCTAATGGTGGTGTGGAGTATGGTTTAAGAAGGGGGTTACAGGAGGCAGGGTTGAAAAGCTGGTGAGAGTCCAGGTGAGAACACTTTAAATTAAGGCTGAATCAATGAAAATCAAAAGGGAAAGACAGATACTGCAAAATGTAAAAGAATAATTCGCAAAACTTGGTGACCATAAGATTTCAAGGCTGAGTGACTCAGAAAATAACTCTGAAGATGTTGCTGTGAAATACCCCTGCACTCTTTGCATGGATGATACCACTTATTTTGATTTACAGGTCTGGGTATAATTAATTCCAAAATGAGCACAAAGCAACCTGAAGCATCCAACTCAAGTGGGGGGACATTTCATAACAGAACTGAAACTGCATATTATACTGCCTCTCAGGTAATAAATACAGTCCTCCCCTTTCATAATGAAAGCTGAGCTTTTATTTATTGTGCAATGTCATGTATATTTATGTGTTTATATTTATGAATATACATAAATATTAAATAGCATCCAAAGAATCAACACTTCATGGTGCTTGTGGGCTACATAAACTGTCAGCAGAAAGGCTTCATCTGCTCTGATGGGCAGCTGGTAACACTAAGGATTCTGGCAAACATCTGGCCCATTTGGTAGCTCTGAATGATGTCTGTAATGTAACATTGATGTTTTCTCAAAAGACACAATCTTCTTCCTCATGTCAGTCAAGATTTTCCCGGTTCAATTATTTTTCCTCTGGGGCAAAGACATTTACACCTGTATGCAAACCAAGTCAACCAAGCCAAACGTATCTTTTTCTTCATTTTTCTTTCTGTGGGTTCATTAACCATTCATATTGCCCACAGGGCCAGGCCCTGAATACTACCTTTTGAAAATGGCCAAATTTCATTTTATTGAGTATTTCTTTATTATATCACTGTTTCACTTTCTTCCTTGTCCAACAGGAGTGGTTAAGCACTTATGCTGGAGTACTAACCAGATGCTATTAAACAAAAAGAATTTCAGGAAAGCACCTGGAACTAATTGTTCATAGCCTGAGGTTCCATAGATTCCCGACACTCCCTAAAAACCATCTTCTTTGCCTTTGCTTCTCTCTCTCCCTCTTTTTTTTTTTTTTTTTTTGGCAAGGCAATCAGGGTTAAGTGACTTGCCCAGAGTCACACAGCTATTGAGTATCATGTGTCTGAGGCCAGATTTGAACTCAGGTCCTCCTAACTCCAGGGCTGGCGCTCTATCCACTGCGCCAACCTAGCTGCCCCACCTTTGTTTCTCAATGAGACAATCTCACTTTGCAGGAAAATATTGTCTGAGATGCAGCTAATCTCTCTGGTCTCAAAATAGTCTCTCAATGGAAGTTAAAAAAAAACCCTTCCCATTTTAACAAAGAATGGAAAAGGCAGTCCAGTTTGTGTGAACAAAATGTGACTTCAAGTTAAAAGTTAATCCACTTGTTAATCTCATGTAACAGGAAAATGGAACTGAGGATTTTATACTTGTACACATGGAAGTGAAAAACCCACCTTTTCAAATGAGGAAGTGGTATTTCCTAATAGATATTAGCTAAAACTGGCCCACAGTCTTTGTGTTCATACCCTACAAAATGCCTTATGTGAAGCAGGGCAGAAAGAGTTAACTGAAATAAGATTGTATACAAAAATAATGGTTCCAAATGTATTTACAAATTTCTGGATGCTTTATCATTTGCTCTCCTAGGTTCTTATGCAAAGCCATCCATCTATAAAGGTTTCAGTTTCTGCATATCCAAGTTGAAAATATTATATTGAACTCAGAGAGAAATGCAGATGTTGTATCTTGAAAATAACAATACCTGAAATAGTTCTTGTGTGAATTAGAATGATTTCTTTGCACAGCCAGGCCATTAGCAATTGCTAATATAGCAAAGTCCCAATTAGTGTGAATAATGAATCCCATGAAGCAATCACATTATTCGAATTTATACTCCATGTTTCCACTGGGCTACAATCAATTACCATATTTTACATAATTACAACTTCAAATAGTGCAAATTCAAATACATATGAACACTTCATGGGATTTATTATTCAAACTAATCAGGACCTAACTGTATTAGCAATTGCTTTCATTTACTGTATTGTAGTTGCTACAAACTGTACTTCATATATACCATTGGGAAGGGAAATTTATTGGATAAAATTTAAAACACATAAAAATTAAAATAAAAATCATAAAAGAGAAAAAACCCAGCAAATTTAGGAAGAGAAGACTTTTGAAACAGTAAGGAAAAAGGATTAGAAATTTTAAGTTGAGAAAATGAGAAAATGAAACGATATGAGCTAAGAGACATGAAAATAACAATTCATTTCTATAGTGTTTTAAAGTTTATGAAGTACTTTCCTCTTAACACCCTTGAAAGGTAAGTAACGATTGTTATAATTCCCAGTTTAGAGATGAGGAACCCGAGAAGTTTAACCTCTGAGAGGTTAAATTATTTGTCAACATTCACATAGCTAATAAGAGTTCAAATCCAGGTCTTTTTGGCTCTAAACTCAGGACTCTATCCCTTATTCACCAAATCAAGTCAATAAAGACTTTTTAAGGACCTACTATGTGTCAGGCACTGTGTTAAGTACCGGGCATACCACAAAAGGCCAAAAAATTAATAACATGCTGCCATTCTCCAAAACATTAGACACTTTAAGAGGTATCATCTGGGTCACCATGACATGAAGCCCTCATATCTCTAGCATGTCAAAAGCTAATAAAGTTTTTGTTGAAATGACTACTAGCAACACCATAAATTACTATGAAGGTCTATTTCAAATGCACACCTGAAAGCTGCCTACAAGAGATCAGGAAATTCTAGGGAAAGCTGCAGATGTTACTCAGTGAAAGGTTGGGGCTGGTTAGGAGAGAGAGGTCTATTCCAGGGATGACTGAGTAGGAGTTGGTTAACCACCTATACAGGGTTTGCTGGCACTTTGCGTTCTGAAAGGAAGCCACATGGTTGTGTATTTGGCTCAAAGGCAATTTAGCTCAGATCTGGAAGATTTATCAGCAAAGTCTAGTAATTAGGAATCTAATTACCAATTCTGTACTAGATTGCAGTCAGCTAGGACTAACAAAAATAGCAACCATTTCTGTCTGGTGATACTTGCTAACACAGATTATTCCATGGCCTTGAAGGAATAACCATGTCTATACCACTAATTCACAGGTATATAATGTATATGCCTACATACATATTTACAACAAAGAGGGATGTGATCTATAGTTATCTTCCTGAGAAAGAGGGTTTCAAGGGAAGATAACAACAGACATTTAAATAATGGACTTTGTAGTATGCTTTTCTTTGTTTTTTTCCCCTGTTTTTGTGTGTTTTTATG